TGTGTGTGTGTGTGTGTGTGTGGTGTGTGTGTGTGTGTGTGTGTGTGTGTGTGTGTGTGTGTGTGTGTGTGTGTGTGTGAAGCCAATTTATTCCACCCATTCTGTCTGCATACTATAGCATTTTAGCCTGAAAAGTTTCTGTTCAGTTCTCTTTGTTTGATGACAGTGAAACTGTCACTCTGTTAAGTGAAAACTTACTATAGAACAGAAAACAAAACCTGCAGAGTGCTGTGATGAAAGTTCATATGAAACACTCCCACGCCGTGCTGCTCATGTTGTGCCCCTGATTTCCTGCCAAAGCCTTAGAAGAAAGCCTCGAAGAAAGCCTTATTTCATGACAAGGGATTCTACAGATTCTCCACAGTAGAGTGAAATGGAGGCGTAGAGGAGAAAGCGATTCATGGAGAGGAAAGAAATGTGTATATACGTATATCGCAGCCCCTCACTATGAGACGATTAATCTCGCCATACAGAACCAATGCACTGCAGCAGCAGCGCTCTCTGACGGGGCTCTCCATACCGGCCCACCGGCCTCAGTTCCCTCTCTGTCTTTTTCTTTCCCTCCACATCAAAATAAATCATTTGCATGGCCAGTAAGCCGTGGCTTCAGCCAGTCCATCATTAGCTCTGCTGAGAGTGAGTTTTTCTTTCTCCCAGGGAGTGGTGTTACAGTGTGACCTACAGTACCGTGTGGAGATGTAGGTAAAGGTTATCCCTGCCTCATCGGAGGGTACAATTTGTTTCTTAAGTCTCTCCCGATGTGTCGGTTGTGATCGATTCTCCCTGACTGTGTAGCTCCCTGTGTGGCCTTGCTGTCTGACTGCACAGCTTTTACTCTGCTGGGCATTGCCAGCTGTGCTCTTATCTACAACGCCCTGCCCTTTACCTCTTACCTTTGTGCTACCTCTCTGTCTCTCACCGCTTCTTTTTTCTCTTTATGCGTGTTTTCCTTCCCCAGTTGGTAAGTGGCATGGAAGAAGCAATGTTCAATTCATGATATATATATATATGCTGCTGATGCATATTAATGAGTTCTCAGTAAGAGTTCTCTCTCATCGTTGTGGGGCGACAGCTTTCTCGCAAGGACGTTTGGCTTGTTAGTTTCACCAGCGGCTGCTGTTATACATGATGTACTCGGCTCCACTCTTTCCTTTTACCAGAGTGGCTATGAATACACTGATTCACTGTACTACAGGATTCTTATACCGGTATCAACAATACAATTTGCTTATGAATGCTTATGACCGTAACTTTAAGTGCATATTTATATTGTACTGGTATTGTAAATAAGGTGGAAAATGACTTGTCATAAGAGAATAGTGTCACCATGACAGCTCTTAATATATACGCTTTTATTAAAGACACTTTAATGTAATATCATCAGGGAGTAATTTGATAAAACTTGATATTTAGTTTTAAGGTGAAACAATGTAAATACAGTAAAGATTTATCTATAAATCACGCTTGTTTTTAAACCGTTATCTTGAATGAATTTCAAAAGATAAGATAAAACACAATTTCAGAGAAATTGAAAGATTCAGATTATGCATTTCTTTCACAAAACAGGATAATCTGCCTCACATGACCTAAATTATGTTTAAGTATGAAAATGAATGGACTTCTTTCTATTTTTCCCACACTTTTGTGATGTTTTATATTCAGTTTATGTCAAATGGAGAACCTTCAACTGTCATTCGACTTACTGCACATCTGCGTCATGGATCCTCTCAAATATCGTGTGCATGCAACTGTTCAGAAGTTACGGACACATGCTAGTGTTTACTTGTGTCAGATAACCTGTCAGCGCACCGTGTTGCCTGGATGATCCCACTCATACCCCCCCCCCACACACACACACACACACACACACACACACACACATTATACTGTACAAACACTCTTAAGATTGATGGGACGTGCCGTTGCACCCCGGGCTGTGTGATCGTGATTGATGGGGCAACACATCCACACACAGGCGCACACTCAAATGAAGAGGCATGTGAACACCCACAGACTGTCCATCTGTGTCGCTGGCCGCATTTGAAGCCTGTCTGCTGTAGTATTGCGCTGATTGCTGATCGTATAGTGACGTTACAAGGGATGATTGTCAATGAATATTAAGGCAATTTGAACTAACTTACTATCAGAACTAAGATGTTAATAAAAAATAATCTCTAGAATCTGCACCCTATTGTGCATTTAGAGACGTTTCTGGTGAAGCAGCATGTCCGCCCGCTGAGCCCTGTTAATCAGCAGTGACGAGTAAATTTAAATCCTTAATTACAACCCAGTTGGCCGTCTCTCTTAAAGGTTTTGAATATGTTAAAGCTCCATCAGACGCTGAGATGATTATTATATTGGCATCCGGGTAAAACCCAGACACAAACAAGTCATCCATTCTGTCATTTCACTGGCGCCCTGTGACTTAGCTCCTCCTCCTCCCGCCGCCCCGCCTCACGATCGGATCACCCATTGATTGGACAACACAACGCTCACCTCTGGTGTGCAGTGAATTTTATGGGGAGCGCAAATATTTTGCTTACTTTTACTTCTTACGGTGGATTATCTTATTGTACCTGCCTTCAAAAGGAGAGCTAACTGAAGAACCCATGTGAAATAAGTGTCTATGTAGCTGATGTGGTGCGCACACACACACACACGCACACACTAGACTGAGGTGGCTTCTCTGTTGTTTGGGACTTTATGGAGGTTTCCAAAGACGTTCTCGCTAGTAAGATTCTCTTTCAAATCAGCAGAGAATGTGTTTGGGGGAAATAAACTAAGCTTTCCACGCTTTCAACAAATGGCAATGGTTTGCTGTTGAGCAAGGCATTGGATGGTCACCTGCTCCAGTGGAGCTGCACAGTATGGAGAACGTGTTAATGTTGTGGACTCTGTGTGTTTGTCGATTCAGCTGCTGTTCCCCCCCGATAAATAAAGGTTAAGAAAATTGTTAGAGCCACATTAGACCTCCTGAACTTGCCTTCTTAGTTATGCAACTTAAAATTCAAGGGAAACGGGAACACTCGGAAAAGGTCGGTTGTGATTATGAAAGGGTCTTATTAATTTTACATCCACATCTCATCATTATTGGCCAGCCTCTTTCCTCATCATTCTGTCCTATCATAGGCTGTAATGGACATCGCAGCCTCTAGAAGCTGCTCGTGTGACTTTAGCCTTTTAGTGTTGTTTTTCAGAAAGCCATGATATCGCCCCAATAATATCAAACAACGGCTCAGTAACCCACCGTGATCCATCCCACTCTCAAACGGTGCAGTGTCCCATTATTTTGGTATTGGCTGACCCGTCGGTGCAGTCACGGATCTGAAGTGTGGACCGTTTTGCGAGGCGGTGGAGTGGATGATGCCACTGTTGCGTTTTTCATGTTAAGCAGTGCTATTACCCTATGTTAATCACGGCTGCTGATGGCATCATTACACAGTGACACTAATCCACTGCCATCATATCACCGCAGCTCGTTTGGAGGGAAACTGGTCTTGTTTGTGGTGAATAGTTTGTCACATTATTTTTGACTCTTTTTCCCAGAGGAGGAATGATTTGTTTGATTTTTGATTCTCGTTCGATTTCTTTCTCTTTAGTTGCCTGAATTGTTCTTGTGTGTTTTCGGGGGGGAATCTGTGGTTTGAATAGCAATAGCTCTCTGAATTCCAGGGAGATTCATCAATGCCTTTGACAGAGTCGTCATGTGCAATGAACCTTGATGTTGTTGCAAATGTCAAGTTTGTTGTGATGAAGCGCTTAAAAGCACAACATGAAACAGGGGAGCAGATGTTCATAAATATGTCCCTTTCCATCTATTAATTGAATTATCAAAAACATCATTAGCGATAGCATCAGTAAGTAACAACTCAAGTAAAGCAGTAGACTCTTTTTTTTATTTTATTTTATTTTATTTTATTTATTTATTTATTTTTTTTTACTCAGCCACAGGGTTTAATATTTATATTATACATTTGTCATATTTTACGTAGAGGATAATTGTATGTCTCATTGACTTACTTTGGACTTTATTCACTTATAGACTGATTTTTTTTTTGCCATCCAGAATCCAAAAAATCTGAAACGTCTCCTTAACGACGACAATCATTTTCGTGTCCAGTAGAATAAATCAGTAATGATATGATTTGTGTTTAAAATGTCATTTCAAGAGACTTTTCTGAGTAGATATGAGGAATCACTTGACACTGCACGTAACTGCCGAGATGTGTTGTGCACCAAATTGTGTTTAAGAGCGTGTTTGTGTGAGAAAAGCAGGTTTACAGATTGCTGACTTTTTTTTTTTTTTTTTTTTTTTTTTTTTTTTTTTTTTAATCTCTTGTAGGTTAATCTGTTTATCCATTCTTTTTTTGAAATGAGGCGGAGTGTGATTGTCTTCTCCCAAAGAAAGTGAATCAGCTAAGTCAGGGTTACCTGCCCTCGCTTTGCACATCTCTTTTTGTAAAATGTGTGGCATTTCTTTCATGCGCACTCCTCTACACACACGCACACACACACACTTATGCACATTGCACACTGAACAATACAGCAGTGCTGTGCAGGTGTACTTCTTCTCATCAAACCCACTGAAGATCCTCACCAACACACAACCCCCCCCCCCATCATCTCCCCTCACCTCAGTTGCCCGGCAACATGCTGCTGTGATGTGGTTGACTGGTGGAGAACATGGGATGTCGAATGTAAGCCTTGTTTTGTCCAAGCTGGTTCATTAGCTTACCTCTCTGACCGGTGGTTCTGGAGGCGGTTTGTAACTGAAGCTATATTTTTTTCTGTATTTGTTTACTTCAGGTCACTTCAGCACCGGTGATCAACTATTTTCCTTGACTGTTCAGGGAAATAACAACTCTAGTATAGTACCCATAGTAGAAACTATACATTAGTAATGCATGTATTATTACTATATAATGGATATGTTTGTTAGTGTTTTATGTCATGTTTGATAGTGGACACACATCAATGGTATAACCAGAATACTGTTATATTTTAGTACAAGCACTATTGATATTGCAGAAAATCAAGTTTGTTTAGGTGTTATTGTACAGCAGTCCAGTGTTGTGATGGATATTGTATCTTTAGGGTTCATTTTTCACGACCACAATTCTGTCTTACTATGTCAGACCTGTCAGCCTTATTGACAGTTGCACCTGCATCATGCACCCTGTACTCAACAGGAACTAGAACTAGACCGCAGTAGATTTACGTGACACAATGTGCAGCGACATAACTTGAAAGATTATTTATCGGGATCATATAATCTGGTATTTAGAGCGCATTTCTTTACAGACACAAGCTTTTATTTTTATTGTATTTCTTTGTACACACCTGACTGCACATTCTGCGGTTGCAATGGGTGCCATAGACTGCTTTTCCTAAAAAAAAAAAAGAAGAAAGTTCCCCTAATTGTGTGATTGATTAAGTGTACTATTCACCACTGTGAACAGTTTGCTGTGGTCACGCAGGTTTGTTGTTTTGGTGTTGAAATGATAATTTGGAGATGAGGAAGAAAAGAGTGATTAATGTTCACTCTAGCAAACAAATTCAAATGAGGATTTATTACACTGGTAAGTGCATAAATGATAGTCATCATTAGAGGGTTTGCAGGGTGTTTTGTTTTAATACACAATTCAGAGTGGATAGCTAAACGTCTGATGTTAATGAAAGCATCACCTCACCTCTAATATTATGTGTTTTAATGCGTTCTAGTACATCACAAACTTCTTTATTTTAATAATGTTGACTATTTCATTTTTCACACTTTTAACTTGTAGAGCTGCAAGTGTTTGCCCACTTGTTAAACTTCAGTGTGTTTCTGAGAAATGGTCTATAAATTCATAGCATTTCAACGCTGTCTCTAACGACAGTGCTTGACAGCAGCGGAGGCTGTTGTGCAATTTAGCTGCCTTGGGCAACAGCTCTGTCATTAACATCTTTTGGGATGGCGGTCATTACTTGACTTCTTGCTGATTCCTTGCAGTGGTGAAAGTAGCTCAGATGTCTCACTGAACCTGGCAAGTGGTGGTTTGTCACTCAGAGACAAAAGCCAGAAGAAGGAGTGGGGCTTCACTCACGTTAGTGAGTGCACAGTTGGGGTCTTTTTATTACAGCCATCATCAGAGTGTGAGTTTTCCGTTGTTTATATTGACAGTGCTTTCGTGAAAGGAAGCGGAGCTCTGCGACCGCTTGAACAAAGTAAAGTGTGGCTGCTGTCGTCAGCGCTGTTCGATCTGACAGTGATTCATTTGTCTCTGGACGTGTTGACAGAACTCTATTGTTGAGTTGTTCAGTAGAGCCCTGAACTGTGTCAGTGGCTAAGCATGGGCCATGCTGCACTTTTAACACACACACATCTTTCCAGGCAGTGGAAAGCAAAAACTCACTTCAAGCTTTGGGCATATGGACATTATATCATAGCGGATGTATTGCTTTTATATATACATACTGTATATTTCTATATGTTATAGCTCTATAGTACTCTCTGTGAGAGCCATTTGAGAATCATCAGATGTTCATTTTGAACTCAAGTTGTCATTGTATAACCAAATGTGCAAAACATAATTATTATAATCAGTCCTTACATTAATTAGCTCTTACATAAGTTGAAAGCGTTTCTAGTGACACATAAAATGGATATTTTCCAACACAGTGTCCTTGAATGATGAGTATAAAAAGTCTTCAATTAGATTTAACGGAGGACAGTTGATCAGCTTATTTTTTTGGTTTGAGTCTCTTTCTGAATCTTGTAATTATGTTAAAGTTGTCCAGAAGTGTGTGTTTCATAACTCCACGTTTCCTTTTTTTTTCTGCTAGGTTATGCAACAGACAACACTAAATTCATATTCTCTCTCCTCTTCACTTCTCTGTTGGCAGCATATCACCATGGACAGCTACATTCCCTGCCTGACAGATCTGTGCAAGGCATTGTGGGAGGTGATGCTCAGCTACCACCGCACCATGCAGTGGCACGAGGAGCAGGACAGGCATGAGACCACGCCCACTGCAGGTAAGAGACTGTACCCGTTTATCCCGATGACCTTTGTAATCTTTCACAATCACTTCATATTCTGCAACACTACTCTATTTGTTCTGACCTTCCAAATACCACAAAGAGGTGCTCAGTTCCTTGTAGAAGCACACAGATTAGGAAACACCAGATACAATAACGACCTCTCACTTGGAAACATTCTGTCTTGCAAAAAACTGATATTTGGCGCCTCAAACTCTCTTTCCTTTTCATGTCTCTTTGCCGGCGAATGCCGTGGCCAGAGGCATTATAGTTTCGGGTTTGTCTGTCCGTTCTATTCTCATGAATGAGGGAATTTCTTCAAATTTGACACAAACGTCCACTTGGACTGAAGGTTGAACTGATCAGACTTTGAAGATCAAAGGTCATGGGTCCTAATTTGTTACGCCCGGCTCGTGGGCCGCAACAAAGGAGGGAGACGCACACCAGATTTGCAGTAACAATCTCAGATTTATTGAAAGAAAGTATTAACGCAACAGAGGTTGGTGGAGACAGACAGAGATGACTGGCGTCTGGGCAGGCGGGGTTTAATAGCTGCAGGAATCACCGGCCAGGTGTTCCCAATTAGGGTGCTGGCATCTCACCTGCACCCAGCCAAGGACCTACGAACACACACACAAGCACATGCACAGTACCAGGGCAACCTCGCATACCTCACGAGTGTATATGCTAATTATGACAATATCACACAAATGTCTGATAGTATAAAATGATGAATTGATGATATTTTGGACATACGTGGATGTAAACTTATGGGTAGGTATACAACGAGGCAATATTCTGGTTTTTATTTTTAAATCTCTCTTTGTCAGCTGTTTTCTCTCTCTAGATTTTCATAAACACAAAACCTACGTTCTGCTTACACAGATTCAGTTTACAAAGACTTGGCCCAGGAGTGCCACTCTTTCATGGCTGTGGGAACTCAACTTACCGTGGGTTCATCAGCGTTTTAGCTCACAGAAAGGAATGATTGGCACATGAAAAGAGTAATGAACATGTGCAGTGTAGTGGTTCGGGTGCTGAAGAGGCATAATATTTTTCAGCATTTACTAAGCTCCCTTTCAGTGTCGAGATCATCGTCCTCCTTTCTCCATTAATACAAAGAGATGTTGTAGTTATACAGATGTGCAGTATCTCTCTGGTTGTTTGTTTGTATTCATTTTGTAGCGTTATCAAATATAAATCGGTTTGACAATCTGTCCTAATTACTTGAATATAAATGATATGTACACATTGTTGGATTTACATTGTGAAATGAAAGTGACCCAGCCGTATGGGTTTCAAGGATAAATATTTGCACAGGTGATGAAGCATGAGTGATGCATATTTTTCTTATGGAAATGTGTCATGCGTGACTTTGAGTGTGCTCTGTTTTTAAGCTAATACAAACAGGACCTTCATGTCTAGCTGTTGCAGTTCACGAAGGTACCGTTTACAGATACAATGACAGACTTTTTCCACATTTCGTAGTTTTTTTTAATGTCGTCCCCAGTGACATTCTTGACCTTCCGATATCATTCAGATCCCAAAACGTTGTCATTTTAGAAAAGAAAAAGCAAGTAACTCATTCTTCTTTTGTAGATTTTGTGCCGATGACAGTATAAAGTACACCGACTCTCCACTGGAAACTCCGTAAAGCTGCACTCAAGTTACGGCCCATTGAGAACAGCAAGACGACTGAACACCACATCTGTCCAAACCCAAAGCTTACATCTGGATCAACATGAAAAGTCTGACTTGTGTCTCAGCCTCTGTCCTTCCTGCCTTCAGTCAGCCAGATGTGAAAACATGAGCCGCGAGAAGCTCAGTTGTCGAGGCAATACATACTTTGTGGTTTAGCAGTAAGCTCCACAAGAAGTTTAATTTCTTACTGGTGTAAAAAAAAGTAAACCGTACTGGATTTGGTTTATAGCTCTTTGTTTCTTCCACCTCACCACTGTTTCATCATTCACCCTGCCAAAGACTTTGTCAGATATTAGCTGCAAATACAGACCTGTCAAATTAGCTGGTAGCTTCCTGCTGTGTATTGAAAGGTAGCTCATTTCCATTTCCCATACTGTACAGAATTCATTAGGCGACGGGATGAGGACACAAAGATGTCCTGAATGGTTGGTGGCAGTCCTCTACGTCCTTCATGAGATGTGAGAGGACACACACCACATTACCTTTCACGAGGTCCATCTATCATCTCGCTATTTGATTGTGTAAAGGTGTCCCTGACCCTGCTTTTGTCCCGGCTTTTACCTTCCTCCCTCAGCGCTAATGTGTGTGCAGGGTCCATCAGACTAATGATTAACTGTGCAGGCTTTTTGTTTCATTTGTTGAGTATGACCGCCGCAGGCAGGGACCTCCATCTCACACAAGAGGCCGTCAAAGTCTTAACCGTCAAGCCCACTGAAGATCACTCCTCACACGCACGCACACACGCACACACGCACACAAGCACACACGCACACACACACCTCTCACCTCATTGAGAATGCAAAAAGAGCATTGCATTGAATTTAATCCTTTGGCCACCTGACATATCGAGCAGGTCAGTGTAATGTTTCAGCAATTAATTTTGTCACTTGATGAAAGGAAAGGTTATTTCAGGAAGGAATATGGGCCAGGGTCCTATCCCGACCTGACGGAATAGATTAAAACGGGGGGGGGGGGGGGGGGTGGTGTGTGTGTGAAAGAAAATATAAATGGCCAGTTTGTTCATCGGTTACATGTTCATACAGAGCATGGCCATACATTTTGAAATGTATGGCGGCTGTCTGCTCTGCTATGATAAAAAAATAAATCAGCTTTCAGCAGTCTGGGTGGGAGTTGGCCTTCACGCCTGATTATTACTCATTAGTAACATGCATATAAACTAAACTAGAGAGCGTGTTATGTGAATTATGTTTTGTTTCACTGACCTCCACCAGTACATATTGTAATTAAATTTTTGATAGACCTATTTCATCGTACTTTTCTATTCATGCTATTCATGTTCCACCGTGGCAAATCTGACTTAGCTCCAATCTAATTATTTTCTATATTTACAGATATACTTATAGATCATGTGTGTAAAGTAATTGGATTTATTTGCAAGCCCTTCAAATGCATTTCCAGTTCTGAAGTTACATTGTAACCAAGCCTTTCAACACATTACGGTGTGCATGTGAATTAAAAAAACACTGCACCAAATCAACACTGAATAAATACATCAAAAATGTATCGGGTTTAAAGTGTGATGGAATGTAATCCCTTGAAATTTAGTGGGGTTTGTTAACCATATGGTGCAGTGCGACAGGCCAATGCTTCCCAATAGTATTCTGTGTTTTAGCATTTTAAACATGTTTCAGACCGTGGTTACACTCGTCTATACAAAGCGACCTCTCTGATTGGATGCTCCGGATCGTATGTGTCCCCATATGTGTGTCCACACTTCAATGCGACCTGCCTGATCGGATATATTTCGCATCCAGCATCCAGTGATGCTCTCGCCAAATGTTTTTGCTCTCACACACTCTCACTCCCACTTGTGCTCATTAAATGAGATCCAGAGATGTCAAGTTGACGTATCACAATTTCTCCCAAGCCCCTTTGTTCTTTTGGCTTTTTTGGGAGTGATGCAATTGTTTAAACTCGTTCTGTCCTTATTAACTCAAACCAATGTTATTGGGCTCTCAAGGACAGTGTTTGAAAACCAGTTTAAAGACTCTCTGAAATTCCCAGACATGTTTGATTGAACCCTGCCACGATGTCATTGTTAAATTATTGCGCTATAACAGGACAGTATTGACTGTGGAGGTAATACTATGTGAGAAGATGACAATGGATTTAAAATGCATCATGAGCAGACTCCCAGGGCAGGTCGGAATCCGAGACCATTTACTTCATATAAATACACACACCAAGGAAAACCCTGATGTGTCACACCCACTTCTGAATGTGATGATTGCAATCAGCCTTTGGGAGAAGAAGATAAACGTCTGTGATGTAGGTGAAGAGGTTAACCACAATCTATTGTGAAAGAGCTCCTTTAAAACAACCGTTCTGACTCCTGATACCCGGGTTCATGTTCTTAATGCACTCGTACGATTATTAACCAAAGTTGTCTTGAAACTGTCGGACTCTGAAACAAACACGTAAGCATATTAATAGCCTTTAAGATTCTTTTGATTGCAAATTCAGTGAGATAAATGAGGGATAAATAATGAAGATTGCTGTACAAGGCATACACTTTATTATAAAAACTTCTTAAACTAGTTGTATTTGAAACCAAGGATTTATTCTTCAATTGACAGAATTTCTTTTCCTTGTTTAAATACAAAATATAGTTTGAACTTAATGCTCGGCTAAGCTTCTTATTAACATTATTGCGGTGGACAATGGGAGGCATGGACCCATTAATGACGTATATTAAAGGAACCCCACTGTGCCAAGCTATTGCAATAAAATTTGACATGAGAACCTCTCTGGAGGATTCTTCTCCTCTTTGGTGTATTGAGCCTTCTGTCAGAATCTATAATACGGGCGAGCAGAGCCTCTCTTGCTGCTAATGGTATGCCTCGGAGTGCGATTAACACGGGTCCTGTGGGTAAAATGGGGGTCTACATACAGACTGATGAAACGGAACAACACAGTGAGAAAACCGTGTGAGGCGCACTAGGCTGCATGCTGTAGGACAAGCACGTCGTCTTCCACTTGGTTTCTCAGAGATACGGTCAGCTGCTAGGGTTGGTAATGATTCATTGATGAGTCATGACGAAGAGCACTCAACCCATTTAGCATTGCACTTATATCGCTTTGTCAGACTCACAATGGACAGTTTATAAGCATTTCAATATGTTTTTTTTAAATGAAAATAATGATAAAACAAATATCGCAAATCATATCGCAATTGCAGCATCAGTCAAACTATTTGCAATTAGTCGTTTAGCCCTAAAATCAGTGCAGCAGAACCAGAGATGTCGTCTCTTTTATTCCACATCAAAACCTGGTGCCTACATTACCCATGATGCAACTGGTCCGCAACCATTTCAGTCGGAGATTCGGTTTGCCTTTAGCGGCTATGTAGCCTTGAGCTGCTAGCGACCCCTGCACACTGGCTCCATCAGCTAATATAAAGCTCTAAATGTATAATCCCAGGATTACGCTTACATATATTTGTGTTGCACTTAAACAACCTGCCTGTTCATTTTTAAACGCGTCATATTGGCGAATTAAGCTCTTCTCTTTTTTTTTCCCCTCTATCCCCATAAAGTAATACCTTCACACACTTTGAGGTTCCTGAGGAGCTCTGATTAATCCAGGCTCACTGATCCCCACTTCTGTCTTTTGGTTTTTCAAACCTTTTAACCTCTTGAGATCGTTTTTGATCGTTTTTTCTTTATCTTTTTTCATCCAGTTGAGAAGGCTTTCTTCAACTCTTCCTGCCCTTTCTCTTGCTCTCCGTTACTATATTCACACAATTAGATATACTCAGTGTGTGGGTGTAAGAACGTTCATGTTTGGACTCTCTTTTAATGGATTGGATAGGTGACATTCGATATGACATTTTGCTATTAAGTAACATTCTTTGCCCTAAAAAGGGAAATAAGTGTTTATTTGTTATATAAACAGGTTAAATGGCATGAGAGCTATTTATGGACTCGCTCAGAAGACAAACACCTCACTTAGCGGGTTCTCTCTACAGTTGCTCTGTTTTGACTGCAGCTCGGAGATCTTTGAGTCAAGCCGAGTTAAATTATGTGTTTGTATGTTTTAGGCTTTAGGTCTTTCAACCATCTCACTGCTTCAGAATAAGAAAAACACTCCCCGTGATTCATGCCTGACTAATGTGTCTAACCATCGTCTGGTTCCATGGTGAATGAATGGCTGTGTGTGTGTGTGTGTGTGTGTGTTTGATCTCAAACAAAACGAGATCCACACGTATTCAGGCGGTGACACTTTTATGTTTTCTTCAGTGCTCTTGAGCGGCTCTTAAATTCTGTCCTCTTGAATGTCTTTCTCATCAATAATCTGATCTCCTGCCTGTGATTGGAGCACATGGAGATGGATTCAGTGTGTGGATTGTTTCGTTTGCCTGTAAATTATCACTCTTGTCCAGTATTTTAAGAGAATGCTTTTAACCAGAAGAGAGCAGTATATTTTAAAACGGATGCTGCAGCATTTTAAATGTTTTACTTTGGTTCTTGTTTAAAGGCTTGAGGAAGGTCTCACAGATCAAAACGTTTCCTTAAAAAGAGAAATACACTGTTTATGTGTAGCCTAACTGTGTGCAGACCTCGTTTGTGCTCTGCAGTTTAGTACTTTTTGTCTTGCGCCGGAGTGTCTCTGCCTGGATGTGCGCACACTTGGTCCTTCTTCTGAGGTTTTGGCTATCGGGCCATGACCAGAGTTATTTCTTTCTCTCCGGCTGAGAAACTGTTGTGAATATGCTTTTGGACTTGTTATTTGTGTTTATTATATACCGCGCTGCACTGAATGTTGTTCATGAACGATTGAGTTGGAGGCTTCCAGCATATTTATTGCAAAATCATCTTGGTGACACTAAATCCAAAAAGAGGAGCGTAGCCCTGTAGCTGTATAGCAGACTTTAAAACGTATATGTTCAATGTGTACGTTGTGGCATTTATTCATTTTAAAAGAGACTTATATTAAGCCCAGTAACAAAAGAGAAGACAAACTACAAAATCATTGACCCGTCACCAAGATGAGTCTCTCACTTTTTTTAGTTTTTTAAGGTGGGGTTGAGAGCTCACAGGCACACTGCTGCTGGCTTTCCCAGAGATCCACTTCAAACGGAGTGAGCCAGCAGCTTCAGTCTGATTGAAGCAATTTCCAGCCAGGGGAAAGTATTGCAGCTACTATGACATTGTAGTGTCTGCTGCTCCACATGGTATTCTATCTGATCGGTGAGAAAACAACACAAAGTAGAGGACAGTGAGGTGATGGAGGAGGAACCACGTTGGTTTAATTTTCAGGCTGCCTGTCCTCAGCACCTTATGCAAGTGTCATCCGGTTTTGTCATATTGTCAGTCTTTGCTCTGTTGAGGGACTTGAGGGACTTGAGGGACCTGTCAAATGCTGGCTGACTTCCACTTTTGGACAAAAAAAAAGTCTCACAGTATTCAGCCTACAGACTGTTTACATGGCCAAACTAACAATGAAGGACAATAGTCACACATTTCAGATCTGCAGATCAGCTACGTGATATTTCTCCTGTATTATAATATTACATTATTATTGCATCTGAGGAATCATATTTCATCATTATTAAAGAGATGTTTTTCATTTGCTTCTTCACCGGCTATAAGAATAGTCCTTTTGGACTTCTGTTCGGATTCTGATCCAGTCTGCTCATCCAATCATTGTGCAGATGTCCGTTGAAATGAGTAAATTCCATTCTTTGAGTCATGCTCAAATGACACCGTCGAACAATAGATAAATGCAACAGATAAAGGGAAACTGAATTTCCTCAGTCTGGTTATCAGTTGTTAGTCGGCCTTTGTTCTGTCTTTGAATACCTCTAGATGGTGCCGCGGCAGCAGAGTCTGATGAGTCTGTGGTGGACCGCAGCTACGTGAAGAAGAAGCTGGAGCACGGACTGACACGGATCTGGCAGGTTGGAACGAATAGTGCACTCTCTCTCTCTAAGCATGACTCTTCATGTCGTTCCACAAGCTGCCATGTCTCTTCCCACAAGTCCGCTCCTAGCTTTGCTTTTCATTTATTTATTTTCTCAGATTTTATTTATTTTTTGTCCAAATCACCGTGTCCCTCTCATTTCTGTCCTCAGGACGTCCAGTTGAAAGCGAAGGCCTACATCCTGGGGACTGACATGTCGAACTTCAAGTACGACGATTTCATAGTGGTGCTTGATGTCATCAGCAGGTACGCCGCAAGACCAGAGCAGCCAGCTCATCACCCTCGTTTCCTCTAATTGGTCTTCATCATCTTGCCGTTGCTGTCCCTCTCTCTGCCTCGTCTTTTTAAATCTTTTTTCCAGGTCGATATACTTTCACAAGCAGTCTCTCTCTCTCTTTCTTCTTTTTTTCCTCAGTCACTTGCTCACTAACTGAATGAGATTATGCGAACACGCACTAACACACAAACACAAAATCCTTTGTCCAATAAGAAAATGATCATTGACTTTGTTGAAATTATAATGGCAGTAAGTCCAAACCCTTTTAAAACACCACACTTTAATAATTACACTAACTCTGGTTATGATAATGTACTCCAGTGTGTTTTGCACTTCTATGGACGACAAATAGGAAGCGTACACACCCTTTGGAGTGACCTGCGCGTTGCTCATCTCGTTGCTGCTGCATGTGGGAGTGAAGCCTGTACTCGACTGGAACAAGTTTGTGGGTGGAGGGAAGAGAATCCAGGATATTATTGTTAATGTTTTCAAGTCCACCTGAAATGATGTGTATCTATCTGTGACATCCTATTGAATTGTTCTGTGAATTTGAGGACCTGTGACCCAAATCAAAACCCCCAAAAAGGAAATTTACATTTAGTGTTTGTTGATCTAATGGAGCCACTGTTTGCACGACTGTTGGTATCTGTGTACACACTGTAGATGAGATAATGTATTCAGCTACCTTAAAATGTCAAAATAGATTATTTTAGGTGGCTTACTTTAGATTCAGACACGCGTGTAGTCCTTTTTCTTCAATACCACTGCTCACAAAACATTATCTGTCCCTTGACTGGCAGTTTACAGTTACCAGAGCGAGTCTGTTTACATCGTGTCTGTGTGCCCCTGCTGGCTCAGCTGTCAGTCAAACACCTACACCTACACACTCTCACACACACACACACAGTGGTCTTCCTGGAGAGGCTTTCAGGCTAAAGGGCTGTTTTTGATCATTTAGAAAATCACTTTTACATTTTTTGACTGCAAAAGAAACCGACACAACATTTAAGGATGGTTTATGCAGAAGCACATATTATCAAGATACAGAGTGAAATGTATATATTTTGTGCAATAAACCCTTAAAATGACTACTTCATTGATTTACTCATACAGATCAAATCATGACCTTTATCACGGTAGCCCTAACTTGTGGTGGTTGCATCATTGTAGGCATGTGCACCACATATAAATTAAATATCAATCGCAAGCCATCAAAGAGTCCACTACTACTCTCCTTACACTGGGTAATCTCACTACATGCTCCATCAGATAACTGCACCAGTGAGAAATCCCTTTGTCTTCTCTCTTTGCCCTTCATTTTGGTCTGTCGTTATGCGTTTCCTCATCCTTTAACCTTCTCTTTCAGGTTGATGCAGGTGGGCGAGGAGTTCTGCGGCAGCAAGTCGGAGGTCCTGCAGGAGTCTATCAAGCGCCAGAGTGTCAACTACTTTAAAAACTATCACAGGTGAGCTGTCTTTTGTTGCATCTGGATCGTCACCTTGATTGCGTAAAAATTGGACTATCTATCTATCTATCTATCTATCTATCTATCATTTTTAATTTTTTTTTGTTGTTTTTTTTTTGTTTTTGAAGCCGTTGAGACGATGGTAGACAGCAGGGTCGCTTGACAGAAACTTTTACACCCAATCACAACCGTGCTCTATTCCCAGCGCAGCCCTCTTCGGAGTAGATGTGTAATTACACGGTAACACTCACTGAGCTGGCAGCACATTTACCTCCTGATTATGTAACCCCCTGCCGACCACATGAATATGTATGCTTTCAAGCAGACAGCGACACATCATCAGATGTGATTTGCATTGATCAGTGTTATGATTAGCCATCAAGATACACTGAAAAGATACACTAAAAAAAAAAAGCTTCACTCCTTTGACACAAATTGTCAATCGAGGTAGACACGGAGGCATGATGGGATGCTGTGTGAATTGGAAGTGAAAAAGAGATTGTTAGAGGTGACAGTTCCAGGGAGAGAGAGAGAAGAAGATGAGGAGGCGAACACCAGACAGCATTGTGATGGCATATTATCAACGCCTCTAATGTGTCCACCAGCACATCTGCTCTGGTGGCCGGCAGGCTTCCAGCGTGCATCATCTTTACATTGGGTTTGATTCATTTTCCAGCCAGGTGTCATTCCCAAAGAGATTACCCATCAGTGAACTTTGACTGGCTGCTGCCTGTATTGGTCTGCCAGCGGCCTGCAGTAACACACTCAGTCATCAGGGTGGGTGTGTTGTTGGCCTACGGGTGCAGAGGACAGAATGACATTGTCAGGGTTCAGACATGATAAGTATCTAAGAGCTGCGCCGTTGGTAATGTCTGCTTGTATTTTCCCCAACTTATTTTCTCCGATTGATTGAAATGTTTTCAAAGCTTTAATGTCCTTTTTAATTCTCGTTGCATTCCATTAGAGGAATATAACTGCAGCACAAGATGCCAGCATGCACCAACAGGGACTGACTTTCAATGCATTTGATATCCCTTCCATATTTCTGTGCCACAAGGCTTCCCTGTCTCACGCCACCGTTCCTTATTCTGTCACTTCTCACACTTCAAACACCTTTCAGTAACACGGGCCACTGCAGTGTTCCACTGCTTTGACATTTCACACAGCGAGACCTGATATTGACCTACCATCAGGGTGGCTGTCTCGAGCTCTGACGACAGTTAACATGGAAACATGACACACACACAAACACACACCTTCCTTTTCACTGTGTATCAGTGACCTTTGCAGGCTTTTTGATGTCGGCACACTTAATCTGGACTCTCGGATTGTAAACGGACCTGAATTCACTGCTGGTCAGCGATGGACACATGTTGACTTCTTCTTTTCCACTTCTTCTTTTCCACTTCTTCTTCTTCGTGTCTTACTCTATTCGCGTAACTTTTTCTTTTTCTCTCATCCCCTCAGGGCACGACTGGAAGAGCTGAGGATGTTTCTGGAAAATGAGACGTGGGAACTTTGCCCAGTGAAGTCTAACTTTAACATCGCCCAGCTCCATGTGAGTAAGAATCCCGTCACTGAGGAGAGAAAGGGAAGCACGGTAGCATTCATCCATCCTACGCTGTCTCTCGTCGCACGCACCCCCTGCTGTGAAATTTGCACAATGATATGAAACACAGGGGATCCTGCTCAATGGTCTATGTGTGTGCAAGTGTGTCAGCCTCCCATAGGAGGAGTAAAGTTCACTGCATGTTATATAACACAGATGAAGAGTATCGGAGCGTAATGTTGATCACGTATCGATATCCAGTATCTCACGGACATATTCTATATAACCAACTCACATAAAAGATCCTTGTGTTTACATGTCCAGCTCACTTCACAGAAGAAGAAAGAAACAGAAATGACAAATGGAAAGATAGAGCTGTCCCAAAGACAAATGGAGTTAATTCAAATTAGTTTATTTCAATTTCATGCATCTTGTTTTCCCTTTCACGTCTGTCTTGCTTGGGCACGTTTTGCAACAAACACACATGCCCAAGAATCCCTATAATAAAACCTATGCCTTGAGAATAGTGTGTGTATACATTACTTATAGGCTAACAGGCAATGACCGTTAACCCTTTAATCCCTGTCTGTCTCTGTCCCGTCTTCTCCAATCCAGGAGTTTAAGTTCATGGGCCAGTGCCGCTCTCCGTCTGTTTCCCCGAGCAAACGGGCCGCGTCCTCGACCAGCACGGCTCAGGACGAGCTCTCTCTGTTCCAGCAGTACCTTCAGGAGGGAAACCCCTTCGAGATGCATGCTGAGAACAAAGAGGAGGAGACGGAGGATGTGCTGGCATCGAACGGGGTAAGTGGAAACCGCAACCACCAAATCACGGTAATGAAGGGCATCACCAAACACGGTAATGAAGATCCAAGTTGATTAATCGGGACATAATCACTGTGGGTCATCGAGTTGTTTACAGCAGCCATTGAGCTGTCCTCACCAGGGCCATAACACACTACGTTCTGATGCATGATTGTTATAACACTTTGACACATGGTCTGACATGTCATATCAGCTGTTAAACAGCAAATTAACTCCTTGGGTAGATTCATTGGCAAAGCAAAAAATAAACTTAATATTAGAGCTGCATGTAATAATGTAGTCATATTCGATGATTGTTTTGTGCTGCAACAAATTCAACACATTTTTCTTAGCAACATTTAGTACTATTGTGTAGTCTACAGTGTAGCGTTTAGTATATATTAGAAACCTTTTTATTTCGTAGAAACGTATTTCTACTCTGTTTTATGTTAAATATAAATAGGCAGCACTTTACCTTAAAATAAAAATGTTTCACTGCTTAGTAGTCTTTTTCTTTAAACAGCCTGTTTCACCGTTCATCCATCAGTGTGCTTTGTGCAACTGCATCTTCACACCCAGAGGAGCAGCCAAGCTTAATTTGTGAGCCTGTTGTCTTGTCCAACAACTGAAAGCAAGCTCTTCTGCTTGCCTGACGAATCTTAATCTGAAAACATAATGGGCATTGTCTGTACCATTATATTGAGCAACAACAGTGGCTCCTATTGTGTGGTTACACAATGCACATCCTGCAGTATGTGCTGCACCGATACTGATGACCACCAGGACCACGGAAAAAAAAAAGTTAAAGTTTGAAAACACTTAGATGAATTCATTTCTCGTTTTTTTTCTATCAGATATTGGGCCAGTGCTGACTCAAACATCGGTGACAATACAACTATATACATTACATTTATTTATTTAATTAATTTTAACATCTTTAAGTGTTGACCAATTGTTGCTGCATTAAAAAGGTTTACACTTGAATTGCAGTTCCTGTTAATTTCGAAAAATGTTGACCAAGTTGCTGTTGCACGATTGATTATTCTAATAATAAATAACATTTCAATAAATATATCTATGTATTTATTTATTGCATTTTGTTTTACAGAGTTAGGAAAGCAATATTTAGGTCAGGCCTGATGTTGCCTTGCACATAAAAGATGGATCCCAGTCACGTCCACACAGTGAGGGATACAGCTTATTAATGAAACACTGGTATCGGATCAGTACCCAAAGCTCAGAAATCGCTATCGAGACAGAAAAAAGTTGGATCGGTGCATTCCTCGTACATGCATTTGCAAAGTACTGTTAGCAGCTACCCTAGTCTTACGTCAAGACCCTCTTGTTCCTTGAGGAAAGTTTTCTTTGCCATCATACACACACACAGCAGCATTGCCTCTCTGTAGCTGACAAATCCTTATTATTCGGCAGGCAACTGGAGCTCAAACACTCTGCCGGTCTTATGGTCTTGGTAAGCAGCACTACTGCTGTAGTAGTAATAATAATAATAATAATAATAACATCTTTTGTGCATTACGACTGTCACTTCTCAGCTCTGATCACAGACTGATGTGACACCACAAGACGGAGAGAAGAAAACACACCTAATGTCTGTCAAGGCTTCTATTGGGTTCAACCAGATATCGAATGCATGAATACAGTGATCCAGAGAATATTAGTACTGTGGATGTTATACATAAGTGCTCCTCCTTTGACGAGCATAAAGTCAGAAATCATTTGGGTTGTTCCTTCAAGGCTTATTTGTTAAACAAAACAGTTTTCCTCTTCAAGGATGGGGAGACGAAAGTACACAGGTGCCCTGACACCCACTTTTTATGTGTGTGTGTGTATATATATATATATATATATATATATA